TTTTAACTCATTACATGTTGTTTCTGCAGGAGGTATTCGAATACTCCACGAGTAGTATTCGAATACTCCAGCTCTCCAGAAAGTATTCGATTACTTTCATTTAAGTATTCGAATACTACCAAGTATCAAAATACTTTTCCCTCCAGTATCTGAAAACCACAGTATTCGAATATCAAACCCCACTGTATTCAAATACTTTCCAGTATTCGAATACTTCTTCAAAGGTATCCGAATACTTTTCTTCCCAGAAAAGTATTCCAATACTCCTGCCAGGAGTATTCGACTACCAGATTAAAAATACCAAAGCAAATCTTTACCAAATACTCTAAGATTTTACTATGTTAAACTAGACATCCCAAGATTTCCAACGACATATCTTATGCCTCAATCGGAGTTGTATAACTCCGGTTATGATTTTTGCAAAGTTCCTACAACAAGCTGAATTTCCAGCAATATGGTCTCGACTTCAAACATACACACAGAGAAATCCACTTATCCAATGGATCTGAAAATTTTCATGGTTGTATCCCTATGTGTTAGCTTCACATAGGTCCAAACCTCACTCAATTTAGAGCTCTTTAGCTCGAAATATCGCAATTTTACTAAACTAGGTCGCTGTTGTCTCGCGAAGTATTTGATTACTGCATTTTCCCATAAAAGTATTCGAATACTTCTTCGACAGAATGCAGAAAACTGAGTTTTAAAGGTAAAATCGACCTCCAATTATCCAAACTCAATCTGGAGTCCAAGAACTCCTTAAACAGATGTTTATTAACATGCTATGAACCCAGAAACACATTCCTTTTATCAAATGGTTCAAATTACGATTTTTAATTGCTTAAACAAGCTTAAATCATCAAAATGCACATAAGATGATCATGTATACCTCCAATGCACAACAACTCCAAAAATGGTACAACAAAGAGGTCTCCAACTACACACCAAGGCTCTGACTTTGTCAAGCCACGAATTAACACCAAAGCTTAGACCTTTCACCAACAAAAGACTTCTTGGAGCCTCCAATGGTATGATCAAGGCTCACACCACCTCATACCCCAAGAAAACAGCTCCAAGATAGCAACTCCACCTCACCACAGAGGCCACAATCTCAGAAATGAGACACTCCACACTCTCACTAGGCCAACCCTCACAAGCTATAGTGTTTTGGTAGAGAGAAAAGGAGGAAAGATGATTTCTTTGGTGAGTTTACAAGGGAAGGAGCCAAAGAACAGAGGAAGGCTGGTCCCAAGACACTCACGTAGCAAAGCATATGGCCTAGGGTTTTGGGCCAAAGTGAGTATTTATAGCTCACTTAAAATTAAACACACAGTATTAACGAAAATAGCTACGCTTAGCATTTTAATTCCAAACTTAGGATTCTGAACCTACTCAATTTTATAAGATTTATCATATTTTTCTTATATTTTTCGGAGCACCTTTTCGGTACGCGCATTTCATAGCCAGTATCAGTTTCTGGCACCAGTTCTCATTATTTTAACTTGAAACTCGTTTTACAAGTCCTACATACTATTCTAGTAATATTCATACACTTATTATAATTTTCCGGGATACTTTTTTGGTACGCATTTATATCGCCTAGCATAACCGGTATCTGCACTTTTCGTCAGAAAAATGACTTTCAGCATTATTACTCATTTACTATAATTATTAGAACCTCATAATAATTATTAGGGTCAATTATGGAATTATCTCATAATTATCTAATTAATTTCCTTAATTAGTGGTGCGGGTTCTTACATATATATATATATATATATATATATATATATATATATATATATATATATATATATATGGGAGGGTTCTTTTGACTCGAGAGTAAGACTTTTAATCCAGTCGTTGATAAATGGGAATCAACAGTTGCCATTTATAGTGTAATTAATAATTAATTAATATAACTTCTTAAACTATAACCGTTGGATGGACGAATAAGTCTTACTCCACATCCTAGCCGTTGATTTTCGCTCATCTAACAATTATAGTTTAGGAAATCATACTAATGAATTAATTATTAATTACACTATAAATAACAATCGTTGATTTCCATCCATCAACGGCTGAGATGGAGAGTAAGACTTACAAGATTTAATCTGGAGTTAAAAGAACCTTCCCCTATATATATATATATATATATAGGGGCAGGATATTCTTACACCAATGTAAAAGTTAGAAGTCTTACACTCAATCTTGATCATTGATCCACTTGTATCTGATGGCTCACATTACTAAAAAATTAGAGCACTTAGATATAATTGGGATCAAAGGTCAAGATTGAAATAACGTACACTGTTATAAAATGATCCTGACCCATATATATATATATAATATGGGTAAAGTGTGTGTGATTTTAAAGGATGAAAAGTTGTGTCATTTTAAGAGAGAGAAAGAGATAGATAAAGGAGGAGAGAGAGTTGACAAAAAAAATAAAAGTGTGGGTCCCACTTCTTTGTGAGAGTGAAAGGATATAAGTTGTGTCATTTAACAGGATAAACATTTTTCCCATATAATATATGTATGTATATATATATAAAGTCATATTATAAACTTATTTTATTTATATATTTATTAATAATATATTTTTATTTTGTTTATATTGATGATATTGGCATAAATGCGATGAAATTTTCATAAATATCATATGAGATAACTTAATACATAGTAAATATAGATCTTAGTTACTCCATGATGTCTTCAAGAAAAAGTAATCCAGATGTAATTAAGATTGACTTTTCAAACTTATACCAAATGTTTATTTTTTGAATAAAAACCTCATAATCATAAAAATTTAATTCAAACAGCCCTGTTTAGGATACCTAATTTTAATTAATTCATGACAAGCCATTCCCATATGTCCACTTACAATCGTTTTGATATTTGTTGAATAATACGACATAAGTCCAACAAATTTATTTGTGTATGAGATATTTTTTTAAATGAAGGTACAAATTATTTAAATTTATCAGCAAAGGAGATGCAGCCCCTTTATCTCCCATGTAAATCATTCTTTTCCATAACTTTAAATAGTTGTGCAAATACCCATAATTCTAGGTTCAAGTTGTACGGAATTTATTTTCCTTAATCAGTGTCGACTTTGAATATTGAGTATGAAAAAAATGATCTTGAGAGAGTTACCCTGGATAAATCTGATTGTATTCGAACCATTTAATCAATGAACCAAAAAAAAAAAAAAAAATCTAACAAAAAAAAATAGTAGTGGGAGTCCTTATTTTGATAAACAGAAATTTATCCATAGATCTGCATATAAGGTTACAATTATACTCTAATACATCATAAATAGGATATTAACTCGTTGGCTAATACCATGAAGAGATGAATACATTGCTTGGAAACAAAGGTTTATGAAAAAAAAAAAAAAAAAAAAAAGAAAAGAAGGAAAAATAGTACCTATATTGCACAAGCAGCATCTCTTCATAGTTCATACCCTTACCCAACTATATAATGTTTTCTTATACTATACTACACTCTATATCAAATCTCAATGCCCAACTTGGCTATAGAGAGCATAGACACCTGCACCCCGACTAAGAGGGAATCAAAGAAGCAATGGTGAGGCAATTGCTGGCTGTAATGCTAACCAAACCATCGGTTTTAGCCATGGTTGATGATTTGGTTTTCAAATCCTCAAACCCACTTTCACATGCTGAAACATCTGCCATGACAGCACTAAGCACGATAGTAACGGTTCCAAGATCACGAGATTGGAGTGCATCCAATGCTTTCTGAAGGTTTTCCAATGCTTTAGAGTATTGTTTCTTGTAATCAGCGAGTGCAGTTGCCAACTCTGGTGAGGAAGCAGAATACTTTGTAATTTTGGATATGGTGAACTTTATCTGATAGGAACATGCCTTTATGGAAGCTTCAAGAACTGCTTTGACGTCAAAATTGTTGCTTAGATAGGGTAGACAGGTGGAAACACAAACGTCAGGGTAATCTGTGCGGCCACATATTTGTTCCAAGGCTTTGTTAACGTTTTTTTTGTTTTTGGAGTGGATTTCTCCAGGCGTTGTTTGGGATTTGCCACGAAAGGTTCCTTTGAGTATGTCTGAGAAAGCAGCGGAAAACGATGAGGATGAATGACCAAAGCCTTGTTCTGATGTTGGGCCCTGGCCGGGTGCTTCAGAAGGAGGGAAGAATGGTTGCTCTGACTCTGAGAATTTGCTTGCCTCTGGAGGAATAGCATTGGAAGGAGAATTGGACTTTGCTTCAATGTCCCTGTGACCGTGTGCCATGCATGTTCCTAGTGCAAAACATATGAGGATTATGGACAAGAATGAGCGGTTAGTGAAGGGAATTTGATCGTTGAAGAGTGTCATTGTTTCTTGAAGGTTGGGAGGACAAAGGATGCAAGATAAGAGGAGAATGTGAGTATTGAGATTTTGGGAATGTGGAAGCAAATTTATATTGTGAGTGAAATTGGTCATAGCTGAATTGTCCATGAAAGTAGGATCCCAGAGAGGAATATCAACCATTGTTTATGCTGTTGTTTCAGCATTATTTCACGGGCCTTGGGGATGACTAATTTACATGTGGTTGAACTTGAAACTACCATCTATTTTTTTCATCCTCAAAATTGACTTTTAGTAATGTCTTCTCTCAAAAGATCTATTGATAAAGTAAAATCATCAAAGCTCAATGATTAGTGTCGTTAGACTTCATTTGTAAAATAATATTCTCTCTTTTTCTATTTCCACTCGTCAAATCCACCTTTCAAATTTTCATCATAAGTTTCCAGCCAACGGTGGGAGACAATTAAAAGAAATGGTAGCCAATCTCAATTTCAAAGCCTAAAGTTTCGGATAGTCTCAGCCACCGATGTGGAACGCAATTGTCGCTGCCTTCAGTGCCTGCCTCAGAAGTTGCGGTCTTCGGTCATCAAAGCTCAATTTCACGTGAAACGTTCACATTAAAAATAAAACAAAATCAAAAGCTGACCTATTTGATCATTGTTGTAGACAGAAATGGCTGGTAATGCAAATAGGAGATTGGGCGTGGCTATGGATTTCTCACCATGCAGCATCAAAGCACTAAAATGGACGGTGGATAACGTTGTCAAAGAAGAGGATCACCTCATTCTCGTTATCATTCGCCCCTCAGAATACTATGAGCACGGCGAGATGCAGCTCTGGGAAGCCACCGGCTCACGTTAGTAATCTCTGTTACCATGCTTTTATACGTGTTGCAATGCATGTACGCGAAATATATGTAGGACCTTACAGAACAAAAATTCAATTAATTTTCCAAATTATAATGTTCAAATGATTATGGATACAAATTCGTAGAAATAAACAAACACCTCTTTCAGATCCATGATCATTTTGCTGTTCCTAATTTCTACTGATACTTGAAATTTGTGTTGTGCGGTGGACATAAATTAATGTTTGAGGATTTTAGTGGTTTATTTATTGGGAAAAGTGTCTATCATTTAAAATTACACAACTTACATCCTTTCACTCTCACAAAGAGGTGGGATCCACACTTTTATTTTTTTTTGTCAACTCTCTCTCCTCCTTAATCTATCTCTTTCTCTCTCTTAAAATGACACAACTTTACATCCTTTAAAATTATACACACTTTTCCCTTATTTATTTGTATATGTTAAGTGTCATTGGTTAAGAATGTCCTATAAGTAACTTAACATACAAATAGGAGCATGAATTGAATGAATTAAGATTTTGAGTTGAGATCCAAGAATTCTTGGGTTTAAAATGTAGATATTACTAGCTTATATTTTTGTTCTATCTTGTGAGGACTTAGTTCCATTAAAAATTAGAGATAACGAGATCGAAAGAATCAATTCAACCTAAACACTTGAATTGTCAAGCGAAGGCTAATCAATATTTTTATATTATATCTAACATGCTCCTTCATATAAGAATTCATCTGTAGATAATATGAGGTCTCTTCTACCTATACTAACAAATTGCAAAATATTAATTATTTTTAATAAAATGGGATAGTGAAGATTGAACTTGCAATCAATTCAACTAAAAATTGAAGGTTTCTGTTGATCTATATGCAGCTCTCATACCTCTGGCTGATTTCTCTGAACCTGCACTCATGAAGAAATATGGATTGAAACCCGAACCCGAAGTAATTGATATTGCCTTAACTGCGGTAAAGCAGAAAAATGTATGATTTATATTTTTGCTCAGGGAGTTGTAGATGATTTTTCATATTGTATATTTCATCGGAGTAACCTTGGGATTTTTGGCTGGTAGATTTTGGTACTAATGAAGATCTATTGGGGAGATGCTCGTGAGAAGATATGTGAAGCAATTGAGCACATTCCTCTAGACAGTCTCACAATGGGTAACAGAGGCCTTAGCACGCTCAGAAGGTAGCTAGAATTCCACCAAATCCCCACAAAGACCAATTGGGTTGCGTCCATTGAGTTTTGGTTATTTCTCAATAAATTTCATTCTGTTTTTTTTTTTTTTTTTTTTTCTTGATTTTTTTCCAGGGCTATAATGGGCAGTGTCAGCAATTATGTGGTGAATAATGCCACTTGTCCCGTCACTGTGGTGAAGACTGCAGACCAGCAGTGCAACACCCCTCGCAAAGGCAAATGAAATATATATTATAAATGATGTAACAAAATATTCTATAAAAAAATATTAATAAATTTTTAGGAAAAAAAATTAGGTGTATCCCAAACATTTGATATCAAACAATTGTTTCTTACGATGATATTAGACAATCGTTCAAATCTCATTTCTAAATGTGTTAATGAGGTATATAAGATCTTAATGTCACTATTACTATTTTATTATTGATTACATACTAGTATACTACCATTAGCAATTGCAATATATTGTTAAACCATATGACTGTAGTCTTGTTAAGTTCTATTCATTTTTACTTTATTTTTTTGTGTTAAAAGCTTTAAGTCTCTTTGTGGCTCCACTTAACGTATCTACAGGTCATAATCCTTCAATTGTAACACTCTTTTACACATTAATAAAGAGTAATATATCATTGGTTGAAAAAAGATAAATGATGTCTTTGGTAGGGTTTAAAGTTTTAATCCACGAGATTTGTCCTAAATTGTACTAATCGCAAAGCTATGAACCGATTCAAATATTTCAAAAAATAAAAAAAGATAAATGACTGAAAACAATTAAATTGAATTATAATATTTGTCAAAAAGAGCCACTTATCAAAAGTTATCCTATATAATCAATAGTATTAAGTTGCATAATAACAATTTTTATACTTGTGTACTAATCCATTTTTTTCAATAGACAAGCTCCTATCTCTTTACACTCAATAGTTTATGATATTTATTAGTAATATTTCTAATTATTATTTAGCATAGATGAACTAAAATAAATTATGACTATTATATATTCTAATTAGGAGGTATATATTCATTAATAATATTTTTTACGTTAGAACACACTACTAGAAATATCTATATTTTTTACGGAATTTTTCCGTTGCAAATGATGAAAATTTCGTCGAAAATGCATTTTTCGATGAAATTTTTTGGACTGAAAATCCTTCGTCAAAGGGCAATGGAATTTCTTTTTCAGTTGAAATTTGCAACGGAAAAAATTCCGATGAAATTTGCAACAGAAAAAAATTTGTTTGAAATTTTTCCGTCACAAGCCTTATTTTTTCGTTGAAAAATAAAGCCATAATATATTATTTATTTAATAAATTCCGTTGAAAATTTCGACGAAAATTATTTTCGTCGAAAAGTTCCGTCACAATTTGCAACGGAATTTAACTAGAATTCCGTTGAAAATACCAACGAAAATATTTTTAGTTGAAAATACCAACGAAAAATTATTCCATTGAAAATTCTGGAACAAAAAAAAAGACACATTTCGTTTTGGTCCAGCATTTCTACTTTGTTCATTTTCTTCTTCACAAAACAGACGAAAAAATCAAAATGAATAGAAGAACTAAAACAACAGAAGTGCATCATCATCAATCCAAATCATTTTCATACCAACAAAAGGATCGACCATACGCAATTTCTACAACTGCAACTTCAAAAAAAAAAAAATTATGGTCTTATATTCTTCTTTCTCATTTTCTCCATACAAAAACAAAACTATGGCTTTATCACCATAACAAAAAAAAAAAAACTTGAGAAAAAACTACATAGATTTTCTTATCGAAGCATCACTCTTTCATCTTCTTGTTTCTCCTTTTCTTCTTTTCGCTGGCGGAGAACAACCCTCCTTCAGTAGTTTCTTGCCAACCTTCGACTTCTTCTCCACTGGTGTTGGTTTCTTTGCAACTATGGATTTCTTCGCCTTTGCATTTGCATCTCTGCTGCGTTTTGCTTCCCGATTAGCTAAAGTATAAGGGATTAATATTTTTTATGTTATTGAGAATAAATTTATCTTTTTTAAAAATATATATATATATTCTATCAATTCATTGTCTTATGATTGGTTCGGTTCGGGATAGGTTCATAATTAAGGGTGATATTAATAAGGATCTAACACATATTCTCACCTTTATATTTAGGGGGTGTATCGGATTGAGATTTCAAAGAATTTTAATGAATTGTTTTTGGACAAAAAAATCCGTTGGTATTCGATTAGGATTTTAATGGATTGAAAAAAAGTCACGTGGTATTCGATTAGAATTTTAAAAGATTATTTTAGAATCCGTCCAAATCCGTTGGTATTCAATCAGGATTTTAAACAATGGAATCACAATTTCGTGGTATTAAAAAATCCGACGATTTTAATGGATTTTCTATTGGTGTGGATTTCGTGAGACTTTTTAGTGAAAAATATAAATAAGATGCCTATCTTACAATCTCATCCCAACCCCTAGAATTTCTTGAGATTCTTCTATTGCAGTGTTTTTTTCTTCCTTTGTAGGTTGACTGCTCGAAATTGGGTTCCGCCATGGGAGCTTCGTCAAAACTAAAAAAAATATAGCAGCGATCTTCATCACAAAATAACCCAGAAACAACAAACCAACGAGATTTTAATATAATCTATCTCAAAACTAACATATTTTTGAGCCATTTTTGAGAAATTTTGGAAGTTTAAAAAGTGATTTTTCAAGCTATGGGTCGCGGTTTTTCTTGGCACAAAAATGTGTTTTTTGTATTAAAAACAACATAAAATAGTGAAAAAATAACAGGGGAACTTTCGTATTATTTTCGTTTTACATCAATGAAACAATATCAATTTAAAAAAAAATTGAAACTTTCATAATATGAACCATATATTTCGTAACAATACATTTATGAACGAAATTCCTTTACTATAGGAAACGATTTCAATCTTTACGTATAAAAATAGGGTTATATTTATCTTATATTGTAGAAAAATTATTATCTCATGTTATAAAAATAAAATTACAAGTGGAACCCACATGTAAGAGGAAAGAGAAAAAAAATAGATGTGGGACCCACCTCCACTTTGTGCGAGTAGAAAGCTTGTTTATCTTATGTAACATAAGATAATATAACCCATAAAAATATGTGTATAAAATAATTTTATCTTAGTAACCTATAATCCTAAGCTATGTAGCACCGATATCGATATGGGACACGTGACACGACACTCCGATACGTTAATTCTAAAAAACGTTTGATTTTGACACGTTAGGACATGTTTTGATATTAAATAATATTTTTAATTTATGTAATGTAGATTATATTTAATATTCAATAATTTAACAAAAAAAATAAATCTAAACTTATAATATTCATAAATTTTGCAAAGAAATATAAAATATCCCAAATATTTATATTAAACTCAATAAAATAGTAATCGTAACTCAACGAATCTAACAGTTAGAACTAAAAACTCAACGCAACGCAATCTTTAAACCTTTTTTTTTTTTTGAATTTCTATAACGCGTGTTAGAGTGCGAGGAGTGTAGTGTCTGAAAATGTCAAAAAATGTGAGACACGACGCATCAGAGTTTTAAAGTGCCGTGGTTCATAGATCCTGTATAAAGCTAGTAAAGAAGCTTGGAATCTCATTTTATTGTTTTCTTTCGTCCTATTTCATTTTGCAAAGCCCAATTTGTTCTGTTACCTTCTCCCTTTGCCCTTTGCATCCACATTATGTAATCATCACCTCAAAGTTTCCCCGGATTCTTTCAGTCTTCGAGCATTGTCCCGAGAAAAAGAAAAAGAAAAAAACCTCTCTGGAAGCTTCTCGAAACCCTAGTAAGGTAGTTTTCTTCGCAGAGAGATCGCTCCCTGAATCTGCTGCGAAGTTCCAATGGCGTTTTGGTGGCCCTTGCTCGTTCTAGCATTCGCTTTCGCCATCTGCAAGTTCCTTCTCATGCTCATTCCTCCCAAGGTTCCTTCCATCGATGTTGACGCTTCCGATGGTACTCTCTCTCACTCACTTAAATTTGTTGCGACGGTGAAAATGTAACGTGGATTTTGATAATTACAGTGTTGGACGATGGAAACCAAGCGCAGGAGAACAGCTTCATATATGTGAGTCTTTTATGTTTACATTTGGAATTGGAATTTTTGCAAATCCCTAGTGTTGTGACTTGTTTTATCATTGCTCTGCTTCTGGCTTTTAAGTGATTGGTGTGATTTGATTTTCTATTTGAAAATTGAGTTCAGTTTAATTGGAAATGCATGAAGTGCCGAATCAATGTATTGTAAGAATTAACTTCCTCTCGGTGAAGCATCATGACTTGTAGTTGGTTGTTTCTTAATTTTATTTTATTTTATTTTTCGGAGAATCTGGCTGATCCGGTCTTATTGATAATTAATTCCTATTCAGGTGCCGCCGAGGGGAACGGCTCAGCAATCAGGAAAGAAAGTTCAGTGCTATGAGCCTGCTACCATGAAATATTTGGGATATGTACCTGCATTGACACCGGATGAGGTCTGTGAGCCTATGCTTCTTAGGGGATTGATGGTTGCGGTTCATAGTTTTAGTATCTATTTACCTAAGCTAGAAAGCAACTATTAGTTTGAGATGCACACTGCATATTTGATTTTATTTTTTTGGGTAATTAGTGTTTATGAAGGTATGATATTTAGAAATAAGAAACTTAGAATTTTCCACAGCTAAAGAAAAATACCCCAAAAAAGATTGAGAAATTTTTAAAAACATCGTCAGTGTTAACTAATCACATTAGAGGTATGCTAGCCTAGTTTAGCTGGAAAAAAAAAATTAACATGTCTTTAACTTCTTGCTAAACTTGTATCCTAAATTTTCATGTTGGCATCCTGCATACTTGTGTATGTCGAAATCAAAATTCAGTAGAATTCCTTTCGAGCTATCTTTTTATTGTTCTTAAAACTGGAAGTTTTCCGTCTCAATTTTTTTTATTTTTTATTTTTAGTGCATACCGTCTCTCAATTTTGATGACCTTTTGGTTTTCATCCATGTATTATTTTTCTTGCTTATGAATGTGTACTTATGCCTGCCCCTAGTTTGGGGGTTGATTAATTGTCCTCATGGCACTCTATTTGATCCATATATATCCTACCATCCAGAAACATTAACGACAGTAACGGGTGGAAGTGAGCTGAGCCTATACGCGCGCACACATGCACACATACACAAGTCAAGGTTCTCAGCACAAGTTTAGTTTATTAGTTTGTGAGCCTACCTTATTGAGCTGTTAAGAAATTGAGCCGTGAGTTGCTAGCTAGGTGGTTCAACTCACTTCCAGCTCTATTGACAACACTACAGAGCCATAAAGGAGAATATTGATGCACAAGAGCAAGTGATTGCAGAGTGTTCATAAAAATTGGTTGCTAGTTTGACTTGATTCATAAATAAAAGTATTGCAAGTTTTAACTTGAACTATTTTGCATGTGTGGTTAGGTTAAGGAGCAAGTGGAAAAAGTACGAAAGGCGCAAAAAATGTGGGCAAAGACCAGCTTCAAGCAAAGACGCCAGTTTTTGCGTATACTTCTGAAATATATAATTAAACACCAAGCGCTTATATGCGAGTAAGACTACTTCTCCATGGTCGTAAGTGGAAGATTTAAATGGTAGTTTTTTTTTTTTTTTTTAATGAACTTATATAGTGTTGCTCTTGTGATATCCTGGGGAACATGCAATTGTCTTTTATTTTTAGTTATCATATTGTTTTATTTGTTAGTCTGAAAAATATATATGAATTGCGCTTATTGCATAAGAATATTAATAACAAATTCAAATATATTCTAATTCATGTGTTTTTATTAGAATATCTTCACGTGATACTGGAAAGACAATGGTAGATGCCTCTTTAGGAGAAATAATGACAACGTGTGAGAAGATCAATTGGCTGCTGTCAGAGGGTGAACAGTGGCTAAAGCCTGAGTACCGGTACCATTTCAATCTGTTTTGTATTTAATAGTATATTTTCTCATCTTTATTTAGACCTAAAACACTAGTAGTTCTACACATATCTTTTGTTATCTTAAGTAGGCACACCATAACCCCCAAATCCCAGTAATTTGCTGTTTTCTATGCTTAAACTGACTGTGATAGTATGTCTGTCTCTGTTTATTTTATTTTTTTACTGCATTTTTTATTTTTGTTTTTTACGTTGACATAGTACAGCCTCATAAATTTTTCTTATATTCCAGTTTTTTTATTAAAAAATGTTATTACATTTTTTATATACATAATGATATTTCTATGGTTAAATTGCGAATTATCTAAACGCACTTTCACGACCACTTTTATTTTTGTGGTAAATAAAAAACTTGCAGATCCTCTGGAAGATCAATGTTTCATAAGAGAGCCAGAGTAGAATTTCATCCTCTTGGTGTTATTGGTGCCATTGTGTCATGGAACTATCCTTTCCACAATATATTTAACCCTATGTTGGCAGCAGTTTTTTCTGGAAATGGCATTGTGGTTAAGGTATAAAATGATATAATATCTACCATCTACCTATCCAAAGTTGTTCATACTGTGGATTTATCATTATGAGTAGACATTGTTGATTGTTATACTTTCACAGGGATTATATTATATTCCATGACAAACTGATAATAAAAAATGAGATTCTGCTAGGTGTAATATCTACTCTTACTAGTTACTATAATTTTTTTTTTTTTACAATTTGACAGAAATCCATGTGATTTTGATTGTAGATATCGGAACATGCAAGTTGGTCTGGATGCTTTTACTTCCGAATCATCCAATCAGCTCTTGCTGCCATAGGAGCTCCAGAGGACCTTGTTGAGGTGATAACAGGGTAGAGCCTTATTTTGTACCCTTCTTTTTCCCTTTTGTTGACAGACATGTCTGCATCTATGACCATAATTGAACCTTTCTTCCCAGGTTTGCTGAAACAGGAGAAGCACTTGTATCTTCTGCTGATAAAGTCATTTTTGTTGGATCACCTGGGGTTGGTAAGATGGTATAATTCCTTTTGTATCCTGTCCTCTCATCTCTGAATTGTATTCCGTAATAATTTTATTTCTGATTTCAAAGAGATAATTTCTGATATGATATGCATGGTAGATATTATTAAATAAAGGAATTGCAGGGAGTACTAGGTCAATATTTAACTGAGTAGTATTAGGATCTGCTTAAGCCCCATTCTATACTCACAAAAGAGAGAGAGAGAGAGTAACCTCAAAAGTTGTTGTAGACCTCTGGTTTAAAATGATGCTTCATAAGCAGAATAAATGGGGGGAGTATCTCAGATTTATTATCTACTTTTTAAATATTATTCCTTTCTTTCTAAGATGCTTATCCACTTTTCCATGCAATAAGAAGTCTTTTCACTCTAATGATATACTGCATTTTTTTATGCAGATAATGAGAAATGCTGCTGAGAAACTTATACCAGTTACACTGGAGCTTGGTGGAAAAGATGCATTTATTGTTTGTGAAGATGTAGATGTGGACCATGTAAGAACCCCTTCCACATTTTCTGATGTCCAAAGGCTTGGGTGTTATTGTGTTAGTAGCAGCCCACCAACTAGGAAATGTGTTATGTAAGGAGAAACAAGGATGGGCTCAATGATCAAGTTGGGTCAGGCCCTGCATGTTACTAGTAGTCAGCATTAATTGATATCATTAGATATAGTAGTTATAGTTTATCTAGTTGGGTCAGGCCCTGTTAGCTGATGGTAGTCAGGGTTACTTGATATTCTTAGATATAGAAAGGAGGAGAGAAAAGTGGCAATTCAGTTGTGATAGTTAGGTGAGTGAAAGAGTTCAGGCTCTCGAATACATGAGGAGTGGCAGCTCTGTAACCATTCTTTCTCTTCCTAACCTGTGTTCTCCATTGATCCAGGGGTAAGGGAGACCACATCAAAAAAATCTTATCTGTGTTTCTATCGCTCTTTGTTTAATCTCTGGACCAGTTCTATCATATTGTTGACCATTTGGTTGGCAAATGTTAACATTACAATGTGAAATATTCATTCTTGAATATCATAGTTTAACAGACATTGATCTGCTGAATACAGGTTGCTCAAATTGCTTGCAGGGCTGTTCTTCAGTCATCTGGGCAGAACTGTGCTGGGGCTGAACGATTTTATGTCCACAGGAACATTTATTCATCTTTTGTCAGTAAAGTTACCAAAATCATAAAATCTGTTACAGCTGTAAGTGTTTTTTTACGACATTTCATTAGTAAATTGTGTCTTACTCGTGCAACTTTCTTTTGAAGTCCACATGCTTCTTAGTCACATGTGCTTGCACTTAATTGTTACAGGATTGCTATTTCAGCAATCTATCAGCTTGTCTTTACACCTGTTCCAGTTTATTATGAAATTCTGTGAGACTTTCATTTTAATCATGATATGTTGCTTTGTCCTCTATTTGTGTTGAGTTTTTGCGTGCCTCTTTTTCTCTTTTTCCTCCCTTTCAGTAGCCCCGAGGGAGCATTAGCTATATAAAGCTTCTAAGAGTTGAATTATGTGTATCAATTAACTACTGGATTTATATCTTATCTCTCTTGACACACACATACGCATATGCACTTCTATATCTGTAAACTCTTTAAACTGATTGGTAAGTAACTTGCAGATGTTGACATATAACAAATTGTTAGAATTTACTAAATTTAGACTTTTAGATGAACATATTAGTTGTGGTGTGCTCCAAGTTGTTCTAAATGGGCTTTTGAAAAAATAACTTTTGACATTTTTTAAAGCTAAAGCTATTTTACTTTTGGATGTAATACATGAAAAGCACTTTTAAATAAATACATTATTTGGATGTTAAAATTAAAAAAGTATTTTTGGTGTATAAAATTACTAAGAAGTACATGTGAAAACAAATTATTGGAGTAAATTTAGTGGTGGTAGTGGCAGTGGTAGGGTGGTGGAGGTGGGGTGATGGTGGTGGTAATGGCTATGGGTGGTAATAATGGCAAGGTGTGGTGTTGGTGGTGGTGTTGGTGACAGCGATGGTGGAGGTGGTGGTAGTAGTGGTGGTGGTGATGATGGAGGTGAGATTGGTTGGGGTTAGGGCAAATTTGAATTTTGAAAAAATATTTGGCTTTTGATTCTTGCTTTTTTTTAAATGTGGAAATTTTAAGTTCGAAAGAAAAGTAGCTTTTTGGCTTCTTCTTTTTTTTGTTATTTCTGTTTTTTGTAAAAGCAGATATCCAAACACTCGGGTGAAACGAGATGGACTTGTTTTTTTTTTTAAAAAAAGGCTTTTTGGAGGGGGGAAGCCCATCCACATGGGTTCTTTTTCTTCTAAAAAAAGCACTCTGAATCTGGGATTCATGATTAGATATAGATAGGAGAAAGAGGCAAAAGGCTCAGGCATTATATAAATCCTAATAACATTTAGGGGTGGGGACCGTTGTACTATCAAGAACTCTTTTTTCACCGATTATTGGAGAATAGCCATCTATCTTAGAACTGTTTAGTATTAAGAAGTCCATTTTTTTTAAAGCTTTCTGGCTAATGATTTCTTGCAGGGTCCACCACTTGCTGGAAAGTATGATATGGGTGCTTTATGCATGTATGAGCATTCTGAAAAGCTTGAAGGTCTTGTAAATGATGCTTTAGACAAAGGAGCTGAAGTTGTTGCACGTGGAAGTTTTGGACGTATAGGTGAAGGTGCAGTTGATCAATATTTTCCACCTGCTGTCATTGTGAATGTGAATCACTCAATGAGATTGATGCAAGAAGAGGTAGCAAAAGCTTGATATTTTTTCTGCTTTACACATTGCCACTTTTTTTTAGTTATTGTTAGAGGGCGAGCCTTGGAGCAACAGTTGCTTCTTGTGACCGAAAAGTTATGGGTTTGAGTTTGGGAAACAGTCTCTTTGCAAAATTGCAAAAATAAGGCTGTGTACAATCAACCGTCAACCCGATCCTCACAAGTCCAGGAGCCTAGTGCTTTGGGGTTTGCCTTTTTAATTATTATTATTTAATTATTGTTGTTTTTGGTGTTTCATTGATAAGCTATATTGTCCATATCTATGTAACCATAAAAAAATATTTTACATATCTTGACTAGAAGCATTGAAGATTTTGAAATCTTAATAATAGTGTCTCACTCTCATGACATATATGTACTGCAACTATGCATTTATATTCAAGAATATCTTTCTATCTTTTATGCTTCCACAATTGCTTACTAGATTCAGTTGTGCATTTAAATGACTTTAGGCATTTGGACCAATCATGCCAATAATGAAATTCAGCTCTGATGAAGAGGCTGTCAAGCTTGCAAATGACTCAAAATATGGGCTTGGCTGTGCTGTTTTCTCAGGCAGTCAGAGTCGTGCCAGAGACATAGCTTCCCAGATACATTGTGGGGTTGCTGCAGTTAATGATTTTGCTGCAACATACATGTGTCAGGTAAAGCTATTTTAACTATTTTATCTTCATCCCTCTC